AATTTATGGCTTACTATAACGCTAACAGAAAAAAGAAAACGAATGGGAAGCTCCTGCGTAACCATGTGGCACGAAATTTTGCGATAGTTTAATTTTGCGGAACAACGCTTTTTGTTTGTATTTTGCGGAAACCAATTTTTGTGATTGTGAAAGACTGGTTTTTCTTGCTGGGTATTAATTTTTGCAATTTTCAGGAAGTCGCGTTTAACTGGAGTTACAACATTTTTTATTTTGTATTACGCTACAATGCCGGTGACAAGTAAAACAACAGTCAGAGATGTAATACGCGGTAGCCAGTGTCACTCTATTACAAAGCCATCTTGCCCTAGTGTGGCTGATAGTGCCAGCTTCAGACGAGCGTTTTCTATAAACTTTTTAGCAGCTACACCTGTAGTGTACCGTGGGGAATTTAATCGTTAAATTTCTGAAGGTTTTGTTTCTTATTTCATCGTTTTCTTCCTGAACGAAATAGACGTTTTAAATTGAAATGTTTTCTATAAATGGCATCAACATGTGATATTGGTGTCTATAATATCGCCAGTGGAGTAAATTTTTGCGGAGAAAATTTTAGCGGGAACTTTGTTTTTGGCGGATCGTGGAAAAAAACGCAAAAATCCCACAAATTAGAACCCAAAAATTTCGCGCCACACGGCATGTCGATTTTGCTGGTACTTTAGGCTATGTTCACACGGAACCAAGAACTGGATGGGCTTTTATGTATCCACATCCACATGGAACTTGCATGTACGGTCCCGATTACTGCAGTTTCGGTTTGGCCCCTCTCTCTTCCGCAGAGGTTCCCTATGGGAAATTGAGTAATAGGGACCTTAAGCAAACCACGACGACGACGGCAACGAAAGCGTCACCAAACAAAAGGTTAAATGAGCAAAATAATAGCTGTACACGTGCGTTATAAATCTTTGTACATTTCTTTGCCGTTCTCTGCAAAACAACAACGTGAAATGACCAAGTTCTGCGTCTACGTCTACGTCGTCTACGGAACGTGGACGACGACGGCCAATTTCGTATTTCCATTTGGAATTGAACGCCGTTGTTACATATTTAGCTTAAGCATGTTTTTAGAGCCATTGGTGTACCGAGCAGATCTAGACAATCGCGAATTTCGCTGATAAAATACAAATTCATTTTTTTCTAGGCGTTGTCCCGACGTCACCGTCGTCGTTGCTTAAGCTCCCCAATATTGGGAGTTCCCCGCGCGCTTCCGTTTTTCCCTCTCCCCAGCCTCCGAACTACCAGCCAGTGTTTATACTAAAACAATTAGATTATTCGCTCTCGATTTCTATGCCGTGATAGTTGACTCGGGCTGAATGCCCTCGTCAACTATCACGCGATAGAAATCCCGGGCTCATAATCTAATTATTTAGTATAACAATTTAAAGCGTTGAATAACTAGTACTTATAGGGCGGCTAGATATGGCAAATATCTTCGAGGCAAATTGAGTAGTAGGAAGGAAAGATAAAATTTAGGATGGACCAGAAAAAAAGAACGACTTTTTAATAATGGACGACGGAAGAGTTGGTGTACTCCATCACTCGATAACAGGGCTGCTTCAGCAAAATGTCTTTAAAACAGTTAGTCTCAGTTTCTATAGCAAACACATCAACAAAAGGTTGGTTAGTCAATAAAGCAGTTGCTGTAGAGCAATCGAGTGTGTTGCCTGATTATTACACTTGACACTTGTTAAAGGTTTTTCTCACCTTGTTCATAGAAGCCACTACTACGGTCATCACTGAATCCTGTGAGATTCGCTTTGAGATCGGACACCTAGTTTTCGCATGAACAAGAAAAAAAAGTTTTCCGTTTCTTAACATTATGTCCGCAAGGAAGTCGCCGAAAAATTCAGCCTTTGAATCATTCAGAAGCATAAAAGGACAGAGGGTGAGGGTTAATGCTACATGTAGACCTTATTATCCCTTAAAGGTTATCACTCTCATGCTATGTTTAAATAATTTCCGTTTTCGTAAATCCCTAGGCTCGATTTCCAGCCGATTTGTGAGCTCGCGTTTCTTGCCCCCCACCATGTTCGTTGGGAAGGGGATAAACAACCGTACTCCCAAAACGGCTGGAAATCGAGCCTGGTAAATCCCAGGAGGGTCTAAAAATTGCCAATCCTGTGACGCGAATTTTCAGTCAGTCTATCAACGACTTTATTTGTCGTAACTTATAGCCCACATACCCTACATGCACCCCTACTAGCGTGCTTAAAAATACATTCGAGTTTGTGCAATAGAGTGTTTTCACATAACGTCACGGCGGCCATAATTAGTTTCCAAAACCCATGAAAACCATGTTGGTGTGCCAAACCAATCCTGTGGGAGTTGAACTCTTTCTTTATGTAAGACCATGTAAACACTTTCTTTTGTTCTGATAATTCTGCATGGCTGTTGGCCACGTGAGTAAAAACGCCCTATTGACCGCGGGTAAATTTTTCACGCACTGGCCAGGCACGTAAGCCCGGCGACCTTCCGCCGATCCTGGTGCTCTCCGTTTGCTCGTCACATGTGCTTGACGGCATGAGGCATAAATAAAACTACACTAAGACAATATAGTTAAGTAGGAATGATTTGTGTTTGCTACGAATAGAAGATTTTTTAAAAAAATTTATTTAGCCTTTTTTGTTGGATTGACTGCAGGGATTAGTGGAAAACAAAACAAAATTGGAGGCAATTTTTGCCGTTGTCGTAGAATACATTATTCTCATACACTTGAGTAAAGCATCTTTGAAAATTTTGCCAAAAAAGTCGATAGTGTTTCTTTCATTTTTTTTGGTTCGAAAATATAAAAGGGCCCAAACAGTAATTCACAGAATCGATCATCAGCTGACATAAACAAACTTGATCAATGTACAACTGTTTAGCTATTGATAATGACACCGTATAGTTGTCTGGCCGCTCGGTATGGCTGTCGGGCCAGTTCGTGAAAAAATTCCTCGTGTTTTGGAAAGTTACGTTTACAACCCACGCCCCAACTAACTCGGCTGCTAACTACTGCTTTATACCGTACGTGTATGCTCGTAAAATGACGTATTATAAACCTAAATAAACTGAGCCCATCCATCATAAGGTAGGATGTGTCCGCCAACGAATAAACGCCGGTTATCTAACCTTTTTCTCTTCCGCCAAGGCATCCTTCAGTGTCCAGATCGTTTCACGTAATTTGCAGTTCTGTTTCATAAAACAGTACAGATATTTACGGTGAGGACACTCGAACCGTGAACCAGGAGCCATAATCGGGGACGGAGACCGTAAGCGCGCTCCATTTCTAGTATTGGGGTTGTCCCCATGATATG